TTGGAGATGGCAAATTTAAGCTTTAAAGTTTGAATCGACCATTAAAAAAAAAGAAGAAAAAAAAAAAGTTGCAGCATCCAGTGTGTAGTGGGATCCAGTGTGTAGAATCTGCCCAGTGGGTTTAATGGGTTTACCAGGCTGGATGGGTCAAGTAGTTTTTTCGGGTTTGGATGGTAAAATTGGAGTTCTGAGTTACATTTGAAAATTAAAATCCTAATTTAAAATTTAGAAGTCCACCATATCAAATATTAATACTTAGATTCAGAAAATAGATTATATATATAATTGGTTTATAAATCTAGATATCATCATTTAATAAAATAGATTTTTGAATTTTAAATTGAGTTGTAATTAAATTAAATGACATTGTTTAAGATTAAGTCTCTAATTTATTTTAGGAGTCAAAATTGATATGCATTTTTTTTATATATCTATATTGATGTGATAAATTATCACTATGAATTTTTTTAACATAATATAGAGCATAAGTTAGAGATGCAAATAATATACCCTTTATTAAGCTACATAAACAAAAAAAAGTTGGTAATTTGTTATGAATTTAATTAATAACTATATTTGATCCATTTTATTTTTCATTGCATTTATTTTAACGTTGTTTTTTTCATAGTTAATAAATAAATATTGGAAATTTTTTTAATGATATAGAATTTTTATTAAGTAATTTTATTTTGGCAACGAGTTAAATAAATTAGTAGTAATTTTTTTTAAGTGAAAGTAAGAAATTCTGATTTCAAGTCATATATCATGCTAATAGAAAAAGTTGCCTCTCATCATATAATCCAAGATTAAAAAAATAATTTTCTTTTATAAAAAAATTAAATTATTATTAACATAAGAGGATAAAAAAATATTATCAAACAATACCTATAATGACAAGTAAAATTAATCAAAAATTTGAGGTATACAAAAGTTAGTTTTGAGATACCCTAATTATAAATAAAAATAAAAATAAATCAAAATTTTAATTAATAAAATTAAAATCAACTTTCAAATTTTCTTTATATAATGTAATTTTTATGAAAAAAATATATTAATTATACCCTTAAACTTTATGGCCTAAGTTGTAGAGATGGAATTGGAATAACTTATACAGGACTTGCCTACTTAATAATAAAAATAAGAAAATATGAGAATCAGGACATCCTGACACTAGGATATCCATCACAACCATCAACTAAGTGAGCCCTTGATTAGGACCCATAAACCAATGACTGTGATGGACATTCTGATTCCGCAGCCCCATAAAAATATACATACACAAATATATATATATATATATATAACTGTGCGAGATTGGTGTGTCATTAATCTCTCCTTATAAACCAATGACTGTGATGGACATTCTGATTCCGCAGCCCCATAAAAATATACATACACAAATATATATATATATATATATATAACTGTGCGAGATTGGTGTGTCATTAATCTCTCCTTATATATGTGTGTGTATGGTAAGAATTTGCTTATATTTAAATTTTATATATTATATTTATATAAAATCTTAATCTTTCATCTTTTTGCTTTTAATTATTAAATTTTATTATATTTTTAAGATGAAAAAGATAGTCATTTTTAATAAATGTAAATAAATCCCAACTATTAAAAGTAAAAGATAAATATTATGATTTTGTATAAATATAATATGTGTATTTTTACTCTATATACATTAATAGAAAAATTATTTTATAAAGTAAATTATACATTAAAAATGTA